GTTTCAGCAGCTTGTCTTTGAAGGCTTTCATTTCATCTTTATCATACAAAGTCTTCTGTTTCTGCTCAGATGTGCGAGAGAAAACGCTCCCTATGAAATCCCAAATATTTGGCAGAACATTTGAGCCAAGTGCCAGGTTTGCATCAGCCTTACTCTGTTCAAGGATTCCTGGCTTTAAGTGAGGTTGCTTGGCCAGTGGCTCCTTTACTGCTTCTTCCTGGCCCAAGCTATTTTTCACAAATCTTTTGAGCAAAGCATCACTTTCTGTGGAAGGCATACTGGTGAGATTTTCTTCAAGTTGGCGTGTTTTAGGGCATATCAACAGTTCCGTACGAGGTTCTAATCTCCCATAAGGGGCAGCTGGCAGAAGTGCACCTGAAGATAAACAAAATACGAGAATGAATACATCCACTCTTGCAAAACAGCTCTCTGAAAGCACCTCAAAAGCCTTCATCGTTGCTTACCAATTCTGATGTAAACGTGAGTATGCTGTTCAACCCATACAGGGAAGATGGCTTTTGGAAATACTATTCGAATTTGGTCAAGAAGGTGTTTTTCAAGAGAGGAGGCGTGCAGTTCCTATGAAAATTTACTATCATTAGAAATAAAATCCTTCATAAATATTTAAGATTTGTTTGAGGATAAAAACTCTATGTCTCTTTCTAATATACCATCTGAAAGACAAAATACTATGAAAAACCCACCACATTTATTGCTTCCTTCGGGGAGGTAAAGGACAGCGATTGTGCTGAAAACTACATATACCTGACATCTTTGTCATCTGTAAGGAAGAGGACGTGAAAAACAAAAAGAGTTTTCTTACCAGTATTTCCCAATCATCTGCTGAGAGTGGTTCCACTTCTACTTGCTGACAGGAAGAGACATGAGAACAGGGTTCAAGGAATACCTGACAAATGTAAAACCATTTTGAAGTATTTAACTCCTTGCTTTTAATAAATAAAAATCCATCTTTAATTCAGCCAGACAACGGACATCTCCGTTATGCTTTCATTACTCTGAATATACGCTATCTTAATGGCACTAGCTAAGCTTATTAGCAGAAGATGAAATTTCAGTGCATTGGAAATGGATTGCATTGGGTATGCTTGGCGCTTTGATGCACCATGAACATAAGTGAATGAGAAGTGCATCAGGAACTGTATCAGCTGATATAAAACAATCCATTTTAAAGCATTTTGATCACACAAGCTTCTTTGGATTTTTATTATTTTTTAAAAAAAGGTTCCGCACTCTAGGAAAATTCATCCAATTGTGCACAAATTTACATAAGGCAGAAATAGCTGAAGAAATGGAAGAGGAAAAAATACAAAACAATAACAACAGCAAAAAACACACACACAATGAAACCAAACCAAGTTCTTCAATGAGTGGGTTCACAGGAAGCATCCCCACTTCCACATAACAGCTTTAAGGTCCTGTGTACCAGGAAGAATTATAGAAGCTGTTGTGGCTTAGGGAAAATACATCTTTTCAAGAGTCTTAAATATATATTTCAAGAGTTAATTTTACCAAAGGTTCATTATTTCAGAAAATAACAATTTTCAAACAATATAAGGCCATACATTTTTAAATAAACTCAAATAAACTTCTTCTGAGATAAAACTATCTCTAGTTACCTGTCCTCTGAGACATATTTGTTACTTTTATAAAAACTGATCTGAAATAATTGATTTTAAATTCCTGTGGGTCCTCAAGTTTGAAGCAAAAGGTGTGAGGAAATACCTTTTCCCAAATGTGGTAAACAGAAGAGCATATAACTATGAAACACAGCAAACATGTACTTTGAGGTCAAAAAGGTGGTGAAACTACTTAATCGTTCATGATGTATAGATGATTATTTCCTGACAACAGCTACGTAAGGTTTTACTCAAACTTCTTTTGTCGATTTATTTATTTTTTTCTGTTGAAGGCTATTAATTGTTAGAACAGAAAAGGCCACTTACCTTGCCACTGAACTAGTAAATCTAGTAAAAAAGTAAACATGCTAATGTAATACACTGCTTCAAGCCATGTCCTCTGATGTGGTTTATTTTGTTGAATAAGATTTTCTACATAATAGAATACGCATATATGAATATATGACACAGTAATATCGTGCAGATCAGTACTTTTCTACTCCTGTTGATTTAACTCTTCACCTATTAAGATAAAAGAATCTTGGATGCTGAAATGTTAAGAGTCCCATGACGCATATCTTTGGCTGTCTCCTGGGCATCTATCCAACTTCTCTACACTAAGAGAATCATTTAAAGAAGTTGTTGAACACACTGTCCAAGAGTAAGAAAACAGTAGGCCAATTTAAATAAATATTCAAAGAAAGAGGACATGGGGCTATAGGGTGAAGGGAGAATAAGAGGGTGACAATTCAAATCCAATATAAGTCAAATAAGAAGAAATACAGAGCAAGTCAATAATTATTTAACAATGACAGGAACTCCAGGCAGAATATTTTAATGAAAGAATTCCCAACTTATTTAACTGCAAATTATGTTTTCCTAAAAATAACGTCACTGCAGAGAGTGGCTCCAACCCTGCAAAAACCTACCCACAAGCCTATCCTTACATCATTTAGGTAATTGTAATGATTTTATGAACAAATCTTTTCATGGTTGAGACATGCTTCATGAAGGTGAACTTTTTCCATCAGACAGATATTAACAAAGTAACTTGGAGATGAGTGCACACGAAACAAGATGCCAGTTGATAGTTAGCTTGTAAACCATTATCTCTTCAGGGATCTTGTGCTATACATTCCATGTTTAAAAAAAAAAGGCGGGGGGGGGGGAAGAGAGAGCGATCGCGAGATTGCATTTCAAACCTGTTCTCCATCGGTAATGCCAAGTTTCTCTGCTAATTGTCTGTTAATCTCTGCAATATTTTCACCCTGGTGACCTCGATGCCTGATTTCCATCCAGCTCAAAAATATAGGCTGATGACCGCCGGAAACTTTCACAGCTTGGCCCTATTAGTTTCAGAGAAATAGAATAAATTAGTATCAAACAACTTAAATAAAATGACTCTTATTGAAACTAAAGCTTATATTTGATTAGAGAGCTGAAAGAAATTCAAAATAATTTATGGATTTTACCTGCCCAATTTTAATGAATATTCCAAAACTGTAATACACAATGTTTATAGTGTTTCTATTAATGATAATGGAAAATTTTTGGCTCTGGTGGACTGCTCAACTTCATCATCAAGACTTTCCTCAGAATTCTTCTCCGTGTTAGCTATCTGCACAGCTTCCAACACAGAATTTCTTGTTGGTTTCAATGTTTAAACAGCTTTCAATTTTTATAGTCGATTTTAAGTATATCTTCTTCCCCTTTTTCTGCATGATAATCTACCAACCAAATATCCCATAGAAATGTATAACTACACATTTTTATCTCTCATATGGGGGGAAAAAAACATACGTATATGATTAAGTTTCACATGCACTTTAATATATTCAGTACAGACTCTAAGAGTGCTTTCATGAGTTGGAAAATATTTTTAAAAAAATGTTATACTGACTTTGCTCAGACTACTATACGAATAAGTAAGCCCTATCTACAGGATGAAACTGTAAGACTGTAAAGAAATTGCACTCCTTGTTTCTATCTCCTGAAGGCAGATTTGTAGCAAAAACGAAGCTAACATTTACACTGAATTTTTTGTAACAGGAACCTGTTCATCCCCACAGTTTACCAATGCCCCTTTAATCTCTCTTTTAGCACTCTGAAGGAAAAATAGTAACTTCTTACAAATCTAGATAATTTTGCTGTTGTGATACGTCTTTCTTGACCTCAGGAAATTAGCATGATGTTATGGGCTATTCCATAAATCTCCATGTGATTATTTGTCAAGTTAGCACATTCCAGTCTGCAGAAGGTATAAGAGGATTGCACGTTCCTGCTCCATTCTCAAACTCCATTCTGATTTTCTCCTTTTCTCCTGCTCCTTCTTATGGTGTCTTTTTTCTGCATACGTGATCTGTTCTGTTAACAATTTTTAAATTATTGACTTCTTTACCTGGCACAATGGATGCTCACAGGCCTTGCTAGTGTTTTCCTGTGTGAGATGTTAATAAAAACATAAGGGACGCTTCCTGCAACTGATTCGCATACCTCCTATCATCCAAAGCCCTATTAAGTATTTCTGTACAGAACTACACAGCAAAACATATATTTAGGTACACCAAGAACTATGATTCTGCACAGATTTAACATCTTAGCTACTACTTGAAAGATCCAATTTACATGTTATTCAGTTAATGCTGGTGCATGGATTACTGCCAAAAGAAAGGTATAAAAATAGGCAGTGCTGAGAGAAAAGTAGATGACAACATGCAGGTGGTGTAAGACTAAGTTCAGAGATAACGAAGTCCCACCTTTTTTTGTTTTAGCAAGGAGAACGCATGACAACACGGTCAAAAACCTTGGCACGACGCTGTGAACCGTCCAGACACGCTGACGGCAGGCAGCGG